ATGCACTAACAGACTAAGACATGGATATGTTAGTTCCTGAGAATTGAACCATGTACCGTAGCTCTGCTTTGAAAGCCATGCACTAACAGACTAAGCAGATGTGTGATAGGAGCAGGTGTAGCTCAAGTGGCTAGTGTATGGGTTTCAGAGATAGAGGGTCTAAGGTTCAATCCTCTATTCAATCCTACTATTTACTATTTTCTATCCTACTGGTCAATCCTACATACTATTTTTTGATCTGTCCCATGATAAGGAGCACTGAAAGTCTGATGGAGTAAAATGCCCACCTTCAAGCACTTTAAAACTAAATTAATTTTAAAATAAAGATAGTATTCTACCAATGGTTTCTTAGTTTCCTTTGGATGAGCATGATTATTTTCCACACTAGACTCTTCTGCAGGTTTCTTTTCAGGCACATACAATACCTAAAAATGGAAAGAAAAGCTCAACATTATATATAGTACTAATAATGCATGTTATAAAGTCACCCAAAAAATAGAATATGCCATTCCAGCAGCAGCAGTATACTCAGATTAGAGAGAAGTAAAAACGTTTTTCAAAGTGATTTAGGTTTAAACTGTAATAATAATAATAATGATAACAATAATAATAATAATAATAATAATAATGATGATGATAATCAAATGTCAAAATTTAAAGAATGGTCAAAATGTCAAAAGTATTGTAATATAAAGATTAACAATTTAATGGAATATAGAAATAAATTATCGTTGGTGAGCAAAATTTATTCTTAAAGAGCTCTGAACTATGATGCAAGCCCAAAAGAAATATTTCCTATTCCGAAGGGGGAAATGCTGCCCAGAAATCTTGCAATTTTACAATTAAATAGAAGCCCAATCACTCCTGAACTTTAAAATTATAATGTACCACTGTACAACACAAAAAATCAAATCATATCAAAGATCAAAATCTTCAAAGGCCATCATCTTCCTACTAAAAAAAGCTAAACTAAATATCCCATGACTATAGATCTTATCATAACAAATTCATAAAATATATATTACGACTGCTATAGATTTTAAACCATCGATCATGTGATACCTTAATGCAAGCCTTAAATGGCCATTCACCAGCCCATAAACAATCCAAAAACATCTTGTTTGTAGTGAAAAAGCTTAGCTTACTGCCATGGTTATGAGTATTTTAGAATAGTTAGCAAAAGTAGTGTTGATATATGTACCACCTTTACTGATTAAGGGTCTGTAACTGGCATTTTCTTATTTTGTTATTAATTATTCATAAGAACCACATGTAGCACCTGAAAGAAGCTGTAGAACAATAGGCTAGATTCTATCAAAATATTTGTTTTATTTAATGGTTATTTATTATGATATACTTCATGATGCCATGGCATATAGGCCATTTTTAACCAATTCAAACTTGGCACCAATTTATATTTATTTGTTATGAGGGCCAGTGCGTGGGTAGGTGGGGGAGGGGAGTTGTTTTAATTTTTTCTGCTTAACATGTTCCCCTCACTAACTTACTACCATACTGTAGTGAAAGCTAATGGATGTATGGATGCCTCAGGCACTGAGCTATTTCTTACAGACAATGGTTTTGGTCAAAACGTGCATATACCTTACTACAAAGTCTTGACTATCATTCAGTTTTGAACTTACAACAAAAGCAATTTAATATAACTTTCCTAAATAATTATACAGTAACTAAAATTAACAGCAAAAAATATATAATAATAAAATAAATAGATGATCATTGTTGATACAGATAAGGAGGAAATCATCATACAATAAAAACAGTTGGTGCATACCTGCCCAGGAAAAAGCATACGGGAAGGTAATTTGTTCATTCTGGTTAGTTCTGATGGTGTAGTATCAAACCTTAATGCTATCTTGGCCAGTGTATCACTGCTACCAACCTGAAAAACACAGGGAAAAAACAAGATATTTTCATTGTTACTTATTTAATTATATTTTACTTATTTAATATCACTAATTTACTTATTTTCCTCGTTTCATTTGTTTATTTGTTCATACATCCATTCATGGCTCGGTGCTCAATAGGCTGTAATTGCATGATGTTGTCATTTTACTACCACTTCCAAAGTGCTTCACATATTTCTTTTTTTATTCAAGTCTGTGTTGCCTCATGAGTATACAGTAGTAGAGTGCATACCATTTATCTGTGAAAGCGTTAACTAACAAAATTGTACAAATCAGTGCTAAAGTTTTGTAGGTTTATGGTCTACTGGGATCTAATTTGAGCAAATCTGTGCAATTTCTTACAATGGATAGTGATTCTCAAGTTTTACCAACCCCAGATCAGGTCAATTTTTACTAGAGGCTAAAGTCGACCAAGCACTGGCATATCACATAGTTTTAACAACACAACAATTGCATAATAAAATAAATTAATCCTAATTAATAGATAAATAATAAAATAAAAATGTTTTCAAAAAAATAAAAAAAATAGTCAAAACAGTATACAAAAAATTTATGTACAAAAAAAAACCAGCTGATCTCTGTTAGGATTAAGTAAATTTCTCATAATCTATATATAATAAGTCAAAATTTTACAAATGCAAGATCTGTAACCTCATATTTTTGAGCCAATTTTAGGTTAAAAAACTAAAACTAAATCAATAATTGATTTACTTTATTATCGTTATTCATACAAAATATTAACTGTCTGACTTTTTATGATTGTCTGACTGTCTGAAATATACATTTATAAATAAAATTTATTTATATAGATTTGTTGTGGAAATCTAAATCTAAATCTAAATTTAAATCTTAAATGAAATACTGCAGTATTAAACAAAAATTATGGGATAAAATGAGAAAATATAATAATTCTAAATTAACCTCTTTTAAAGAAGTGTGTGCAAAAGTATAAAGACACTGTTTGAACTGCAACATTCAAATGTAACCATAAAAATATGTTTCATAGATTTTTAAATGAAATACATGTTTTGGGTTAGCATGTATATCAGAGGAGCCCTTATAATTATAATTGTTGGAACTATTACAATATTATAAATGCTCTAGCTGAATTCATGGAGAATTGTTTGTATTCCAAATAAAATGAAAAATGCACAAATTCAAGTCTGTTTGCTTTGGTGGAGAAATATTACAGGAAAAAGTTTTAAAATTATTCATGGTTTTCTTATATTTCCATTAAAAAACTATTAAATTTAATGTAAAAGTGGAATTCTAACCATTTAATGGTTTCAGGATTTATGGTAGTTCTGTAGTTTGTGATATGTCTTTTTTCAACTTTTTTAAATGCATATAATTTCCTTTGATATCGGCTCATATGACTACAAGAAACGGGCCAAAAAATTCTATTAAATTTACAACATAACATGTTTGCACCTGTAAAATCTATAATTTGAGTCTGAAACTTGGCTCATAGTTTTTTAAAAATGTTTTGGGATATAAAATTTAATGTGGTGAATGAAAATGTGAGGACTATTTGTTTTAGAAATACACTGAATGTAGCAAATGAAAAATAAATTTGAATTTCTATAACTTATATTTATAATATATTTTGATTATTATCAAATGTGAAATCTTAATCATTAAATATAAAACTTACAGTTTTCTTGAAACTTGAGTTTGAATCTTTTGAAAGATTTTCTCAACAAGAAAGAAAATGATGAAGAATAGACTTGGATGCAAAATAGCTTCTTCTGAATCAACATACAGTAAGTACGTGTAATATAAATGGAACTTTGACTTTTTGAATTTGTTGCCTGGCAACAACCTTTTAATAAATGATTAATTTTTGTTACCAAAGATACTATAGATTTTTTGATAAAATGAAGATGAAAATGTAAAGAAAACAAATGAAATGAAAACTTCATAAGAATTATCTCTATAAACCATTATTTTGACTTTGTTATTTGTCACAATATTTATATAATTAATTTAAGAATGTGAGAGAGTTTGAAAGTTATAATAAATATTAGTATATTTACACACATGAATATAATAAATCTGGCRCACTCGTTGGCCACAATTTACATTTTATGCTGCTATATTCACCTACAGGTAAATATGATGTGTGCACACAGACACTCGTTTGTTGATTTGTGCTGCTTAATGCAGAGATACAGTCAACTCTCGCCTTGCGGACACCCTGATATTACCCTGACATTACCCTGTTTACTTAAAGTGCACCTAACCCCTGATATAATACTTTAATTACTTGAAGGTTTATACTTCCAATATGTAAATGACTGTGACATCACCCCAGGCTTCATTAAATATACAAATTTTGACTGGTTCACACAAACAGTTTTGAAAAAACATCATCATTATACTCAAGGTTTCCATAATGCTTATTGTAAATTTGATTACTCATAATGGCTAGCGTTTAGCATAAAAAATTAAAACAAATGCACTTAGCCTGGGGTGACGTCACAATCAGTAACACAATGGAGGTATAAACCTTCATAACTTAAAGACGCAACAATGATTCGAATGACGAAATATTTCACCATTCAACTATTCACATTATATGTAGAAGCAATACTGAAAGTATTGTATCAGGAGTTAGGTGCACTTTAATGTTATACTCATTATTATAATTTATATTATTATTAGAGATGACTAATATAGAGAGATCATATGATAAGAGCTTGATATCGTTCTTATTCATGAGTTTCCATATCAATATCACTAACAAACGAGTCTGTGAGCATGATACATATAATACAGTTTATATTGATATGGTCGTTATTCATGGCTTTATTGCATGAATATCGACCATAAACTTGTAATATAAATTATTTTATCTTCATTTATGGTTGCTTAAACACCATTATTTTTATTTTATTAAAAATAGTAATTGATAATATTGATTGATACTAATCCCAAATGGCATACAATATCAGCGATTTGACAAATTTTGCAATTTGACCAATAATTACATCTGGGTATAAACGTAAATTTAAATGTCTGTTTCAGACAAGCATATTAATTCAATAACTAAAAACTGAGTCTAATCACACCAAAAAACTGTCATCATTCCATCATTTCTAAATGATGTCAAAAATAGGCCATAACGAAGCTCCTGAAGTACAAAACTCTCTCAATAATATTTATTATATATAATATATTTTGAATTGTTTCCTACACCTGGCTATATATGCCTCCCTTGCTTTGATGTCATGCTTTATGAGCCATATCATAGACATTGGTCTAATATACATAAGCTAATGCTGCTGCTATTGTTTGCTTCATCACATTCAGTGAACTATTAAGCATTACAGCAAAGAGTACATACTTACAGTATAATTATTGAATGCTTAGTACCTTTCATTGACACTTACAGCAAAAGTATTTTCCCAAATCTCTCTCATTTACGTATTTTCATCATTATTTTATTGTTTTACCATAAATTAAAGCTGGTGTTTAACATGGGACGTTCTGCAACGACGATTTTTCGCAATACGACTTCATATGATTTTTAATACGTTACACGAGTCAACTTTTCACACAATGTTCGTTCGAAAATCAACATGTTACACAGGACAATTTTTAGCAATTTCAAAGCCGCCATCTAGTTTGTTGACATTGCCTTGCTTCTATGAGAGTATTGAGCTGCATTTTGGGTATGCTTTGCGCGAAACTCGTCGAGGAAGCTATTACACGAATCAACTTGCAAAAAATTTCCAATTTTGCGCTGCAAGTTTTTGAAGCTAAATCAAAAACCTGCTGCAAGGCGTTGCCAAATCTGAAAATCGTTGTACATTCCATGCTACACGGCATCAATTTTTCGTGCAACAGTGTAAAAATTGTCCTTGTGAATCATCCAGTGAAACATCAGCTTAAAGCATAAGCGCAACACTATGTATTTCCGCAAGACTTTCTTTTTTACAACTTTTTAGAATATTTTATGAAAGCAACAAATAAAAACAAATATTGAACAAACAAATTTTTTTTATCATAATAGGAAAACATTATATCCGCAAGTTTCTTTTCTCCCCTTATTTTTAGCATCTTTTAACATAACAGCAAATATGTACATCCCCAGATCTCTTTCATTTATATATTTTTAGCATCTATTAGCGTAATAGGAAATACATATATCCACAAGTCTCTTTTTTTTGCTAATTCTAAGCATCTCTTAACATAACAGCAAATATGTACTTCCCCAGATCTCTTTCATTTATATATTTTTAGCATCTATTGGCGTAATAGGAAATACATATATCCGCAAGTCTCTTTTTTTTGCTAATTCTAAGCATCTCTTAACATAACAGCAAATATGTACTTCCCCAGATCTCTTTCATTTATATATTTTTAGCATCTATTGGCGTAATAGGAAATACATATATCCGCAAATCTCTTTTCTTTGCTAATTTTAAGCATCTTTTAACGTAACAGCAAATACATACTTCCCCAGATCTCTTTCATTTATATATTTTTAGCATTTTTTATCATAATGGCAAATGCATACTGTATTTTTGCATGTCTATCTTTCACTTCTTTTGTATACCTAAAGTCCTATGTGCCACAAGGGGCAAGGAGATTAAGTAACAGGTATTTTTTATATCTATCCTTCTTAAAGTAATGTCCAAATATCTTTAACTTCCTCAAGACCAGAAAAACAGAAACAGAATATGAAATTAATGTTTCATAATCAATATTGAAATTTATCCTTTGAACAATTAATATATTGAAGTTTAAGCTTATGTCAATCTCTCTTAGTAATGCTAAGTAATAAATAACGAATTATAAATAATATTATTAAATTAACATGATACAATACATGAAATAAACATGGTCATTATATTTCAAAAAATATATTGTAATGACACAAAGAAAAACAATATCTATTACAATTCCATACAAAAGAAGTTAAAAGAATATAGATCTAGAGGTTTTCGGAGTAAATAAAGGAGAGATCTTACCGAATATTCAACAGCCCCCTCTGGCTTTTGATTTGTTCTCCTCATGTTGATTGCGATTTTGTCTTCAACTTGGAAATCTGCAGAAAATATTACGGAAAAAAATCATTATTTAAGTACTTTAATGGTTTATCTTTAAGGTCGTCTTAAATAACATCTTTTATCGTGAGGTAAATAAGAAATAAGAGAAAATCTAAGAGGAAAATGAATGGAGTAATTAACAGCGTTTTGACAGACTGGAATCAGGTTTCTAAGAGCAGTGTATTTACCAATTAGAGCGGGATTTTTCGCCCCTTTAGTGCGAGATCATTAATTTTGCTTAAACCGTAGAGCTCATGGATGATTTCCATCAATAAAGAACGCCTTCTTTGTCTTGTAAAGACCAACGAATGAGAGGAATCCTAAAGTTTGGATCGCATGTCAGCCATCTTGATTGAGTTCCGTGTTTGCAAAACAGTCCAATGGTGTACGTTGTTGACTATTTTGAATGGTACGGGTCTTCTCAATGGATAGAAAATCATAACGACTTACCAGTGCTACTCGTCAGTGAGGTGATACATAATTTATGACAGAAAATTAGGGCCAGAAAATTTAAAATCTTGCTCTAATAAAGTGCAAAATTTTGAGGTAGAGTTGATTTGTACTGGTAAGTGTGCGACTTCGAAATCGTAGGCGTATAAATTTTTTTTCAAAGATAGGGGAGAAAATAAGATAATGAATCTATTTATGCTATTAGGAAGATGAGATAAAAATATTTTTAAGTGATGTGAGCTGCAGGTAAAAAAGGATAAACAAAAGTTAGGGTAATGTCATCCACGACCACCAAAAGTGCATCTGGCGGGTCCACCCACTCACCAGTCTCAGGAGAAACCCAAAGAAGACTTCTTTCGACCCTTTGTTTTAATTGTCCTCCTAAATAAGAAACTCCCTCGAGTCCCCAGGATAAAAAGCGGCCATAGCTTGAGCTCTGTGAGCTTTTTTCTTGCTGTGAACGATGCGAGGGAATTAGTTCTGAGCTTCCGTCTTCATTATTCACTCCATCATTACTGTCATCCTCGGTGGGTTTTCTTGAAAACAAGACAAAGATAAGTTAGTCTAACAGTTAGTCTAGTTACACATAACAATAAGTTAGTCTAATGAGTACTTCCACGTGGTATTCTAGCAGTTTTTCTTTTCTATAGTCGTTTATGAATCCGTAAAATTTATTCATTCATTGTTGTTGAGTGGCCGTAGTTTTGAGCCACGGCGCGATCATCCAGCATCACTCAACCAAAGAATATAAACAACACATTTCCATGATTTTTACCACATTTCTTACCTTAAAGCATAACCTTTAAGTAAACTATACATGACACGAGCTAGAAATGACTAAAATCCTGCCTTCTGATGGCATATTTAGACTYTTTTCAGCAGCATTGAACACATCTAAACATGCTCTGTTTAGACTCCATCACACGACTGCAGATCCCAGAATGACACTCGAATGACAGTCGTTTCCTTCCCGAACAATTATCGATTGAAAAGCTTGCAACGAGTACGTAATTATTGCTTTTTGATGTGCATTTTCAAAAAAAGTTCAATAATAAAAACGTTAAATACGAAAAGGAAAAAAACTAAATAAGTTATCGGAGGAAAGTTTTGTTGTAAATTATTTGTTTTTTAGTGAAGTTTTAGGGGTGAAACGATAAAAAGAAAAACTAAAACGGCTTCTCGCACCTTGATTTGGAATCGTCTTCATGTGCTGTCCCACAACGCCGAAACGAAACCAAAGGTATCGAACTGCTGAAACAAAAGAAACCATTGCACATTTTAATTCCCTTTGTAACTGTGACTGATACCTTTTTTGTCCGTAGGCTAAAGAGAAAGCATTTTTTTTAATTATTATTATTTTGCGGTCGCTCGCCAGGGGGCCAAGAGTGACCTTAACTGAAGCCAAAATATAGCCGAACTTCAGATTCGAAACCATTCGAAATTTAATTTCCATTTCCAAATAAGCTCGATGCCTGTCTATTCCATACTGATGAAGCGAAAACGCATGATTTTTTACGGTCGCGAGTGAGTGGGCCATGGCCGACTTGGACTGAAATTGAGCCGATCGGTCTTTAGCGACTACCCTGGGGATTTTATCATGTGGTCGCTAAATACAGGTTGGTGTAGTACTTACTCATTGATCATTTTAGAAGTTTCACTCAAATGTACTGTGATGTTTTGGCGAACTGCTTCGGTCTTGTTCAGTTTTTCAGACCGACAGGGATTGTAAGAGGTAACGCATCCCATCTACTCAGTTCTGGCAGTATTTGTGAACTTCTTTTCATATAACCACGATTACACTATGGTATATACGAGCTGACCTTTGTTAACCCGTCAATAAAATATAATTGCGCAGCCCAACCTATAGCCGGGGAAAAAACGAATTTTAAAAACCACTATAGTACATGCACTTGCGCAAAAAAAAATTCAGGTATCATGAAAGCAAAGCTGATTGGCCGCTATGTTGGAACTATTTTCTCAGCTTGGCAAGTGTTCAGTTCTGTTCGTAAATAAATTGATCATATTAATATTCATAGTGGAATTCTGTTAACATGCAGCCCGTAAAATATATATCAATTAAAAAGAAACAAGGTATGTAAGAACGGTTTTCGTACGACTGTGGAAAGCTCAGTGCGGTATATTCGTGCTTGCCGTGAACGTGAAGTTTTCTAGAATTTTAATTGGCTGATTGCTTTCTCTCGCAATGTGATTGGTCTGGCACTGCAGTGACCGCGTCAGCGCAGCACCGTGTTTCGGATGCAGAGTAAGTTCTTGACAATTTGATTGGTCTGGCTTATGCTTTACCTTACCGTGTTTGTGACGTGGGCTTTTCAGTCATACGAAAACTGCTCTATCTTCATTGAACTGTCACCATCCGAAATCAAGCAAAGGGGTGACTCCACGGCCGATAAGAGAGGGTCCTTTATGGTCACTAGAAAATGTAATTGATACTGCAGCTTCATCAATCATAAATGTCAGTTTTCGCAATAGTTTAAGAAGACGAGCCAGTGTAAACAATTACATGCAAAATGTAAATCAAAAATACATAGACATTTATTACTAACAAGCTTTTATTCGCATCTATAACTATTTAATCCTTCTGTATAATATTCCCTTGTTATTTTAAGACAAATTGTCTAGTAAAGACTGTAAATTTAATTTTATATTTTTCTTTTCCTTTTCAAAAGTGCGCAAATGCAAACTGGACCAATGAGGATTGTTTAAAGCCCCGAAGTGACTCGACGTTACTTGCGGGGAAAATGATTTTCGAAAATACAATAAAACAATAGACCTATCCCGAATTCGCTTGACTGACCACGAAACAATGGTTTGAAGTCGAGACTGAACTTGATTCTTTTATTCATCAAGTTTCAACCTCGACTCGAAACTATTGCTTTGTGACCAGTCAAGCGAATTCGGGATAGGTCTATTGACCTCTCAACATGAATAAAAACGTTTTCTGTTAAAGGTTTTACTGTTCCTTACTCGTTGTGTAATTGAAGTGCCAATGTCAATCAGTACCTAAACTGCTTATAGTTATTGCAGCATTTCCCATATATTTAAAATTAAGTCATCCATCACTTTGAGATAARAAATTAAATTGCACCTTGCGCCCGGTCTCTAGAATCGAGTGCTTTGTTTGGCCGTGCCGTTACCGTGACGGTGCGGTGCCAAACATTTTAACTAAATGTATGCACTCGCTGTGATTGGTCCACAGATGTTGTTAATCCGTATCATGACCGTGCCATGCGTTATTAAGTTTTCAGTGTCGTACTCTACAGATATCGCAAGACACCATGTAATGTGACTAATATTTATATATCCTACTATCTGTAGTCCTCACTGGATACTCCATCATGTCTCAGATTCGACACTGACAGAAATATATTACTCCTATCATCCCTACTCAGCTTTCTGTACGTCTGGCCAATCTTTCTTGAATAAGGACATCAGCAATATTAATATCTTTATCGCTAGACGTGTCGTAGATTGTTAGATGAATCTTGTGCTCCTCGCGGTAGCTGTAGGTGTACTGGTCCCCGTCTATTGAAGCAACAAGCATCTTCCATCGTGTTAAATCTTCAAATCTTTTTGTTGCTTCCACTGACCATTCACCGGAGCTTTCGCTGGGCTGGATTCCTGTGGTAGGAGAAAAAATTGAAAATGAGAAGAAATGAAACTGAATAGACCTTATTCGTGGTGTGACAATGTTTTCCCAATTCAGCATGACGAACCTCCAGGGGATTCATTTTCTTTTGTTTTTACTCTTCGAAAAATTCATGAGTATCCCAAACGATGATATCCCGACGAGTTTCAAAACAATATGTCTTCATTCCCCCAGAGGTTTGTCACGCTGAATTGGGAAAACATTGTCACACCACGAATAAGGTCTATATTGCCGTACGCGAAAATTCAGGGGGAACTCAGTCTCTCGAACAAGAAGCTCGTAACACAAAGACTTGATGCCAGATAGAATTGAAATTTAGGTGTTGATAAAGATTATGAGTCCCGACTAGCCATCTGAGATGAGGGGAAAACTGGGTCGAGTTGGCATTGCAGTGCATTGTGGGGCTGTCTTAGGGGACGAAATAAGCGCCATATTGGATATATGTCCTCTAAAACAGCCCCACAATGCACTGCAATACCAAACCAACCCAATTTCCCCCTCAACTTGGGAATGGCTTATAAAACGATGTGATGACAGCCACTGGAGAGACTGGCAGGCGCATGCACTTACTCACTACTAACCTGATAGGGATCCCTTGACAGCGATGCATGGTAATTGTTTGAACTGATCACAGAGTACTCGAAAATCACTAGAGGTGTGGATATTGAGATTACCGTAGTCTATAAACAGGACGCAAACCTGAAAAAAGGAAATGTTTATGGGGTCAATAGGAGTTTCTTGTCTAAGGCATTTCACATGCGTTCCAATGATTTTTACAGATTATCGGACTGAATATCAGGGCTCGAATGACACTAGGGGRAAAATAATTTTAAAATTTTATCGAAACCCTGAAACAACTGGTGGATGATCAAAGTCAGGAAACGGCTAACTCACAAATCAAATTGCAAGGAATTTAGCGAGATAGGTATTGGGGAGGGAGGAAAACCGGAGAAAACCATCGGCAAAAAACCTCTATCACATGTTATGCCAAGTCCAGAATTATATCGAACCAGAGATCCTAGAGGTGAGAGGCGAGAAAGCGCTATCACTATCAACACTCTTGATTCCTTTCACCCTTGAAATAATTGTGTGAAATTGAAGTTTTCTCCTTTTATTCATGTGTGAATACCTCACCGAGAGTCCTTTGCAGTTATACTTACCTGTTTTGGTGAGAGGACAGCCTTAACAACTGCTCGATAGTAATTGCCGTCTTTATCTCTGACAGCGCACAGGTCACCCATACGGGGACTCTTGACGGTCTCAGTTTTATTCTGTGGGCAAGAATTGAATGCATTCAGTGTGTGAGCCACAACGGGTCAATGAATTGCTTCCAAAGACATTTTGTGCGAATTGTCAATTTTTAGTGTATGCGGACCGTGACGCAGATACATTAGAGACCTTTAGCATAAGGTTTGCCGCTAACTGCTAACAGCTAACTGCTAGGGATCAGGCCCAGAAATACATCCCAAAGGGCGAAAAAACGCTCAGCATTAACGAAATTCAATATGGCAGCTCTTCCAGCAACAACTTCATTACGACGCCTTGCTAAATGTCGAAAGTTTGAGGGAAAACGCCTGACGTCGAACTGCAGTTTGAGGTTTGCGGTACCCAGCAAGAACGTCGTGCTAAAGGTCTTTATTGACAGTGATAACTTGCGCCTTGTCGATCCAGAATGTACTATTACCACAACAGATTGGTGCCGTGACATTAAAATGGGTTCCCATTTAACATCCATATATACCATTAATGGCTTCCCGTTAACTAACTACTCCTCTTCCATCCATATCCATATATCCATCCATATATACCATTAACCCTAAAATGGCTTCCCATTAACTTACTGCGCCTTTTCCATCATGACTATCCATATATCCATCCATATATACCATTAATCCTAAAATGGCTTGCCGTTAACTAACTGCGCCTCTTCCATTCATATCTATATATCCATCCATATATACTATTAACCCTAAAATGGCTTCCCATTAACTAATTGCGCCYCTACCATCCATATATCCATCCATATATACCATTAACCCTAAAATGGCTTCCCATTAACTAATTGCGCCTATTCCATCCATATCCATCCATTACCCCGAGAATGGAAACCTAAAATGGCTTCCCATTGTGTTTTCCACCTGCACAATGGGCTGTACCTATGCCCATTTATAACATGAATAGAAATGCCTTCCTAGCAATTAATTACTCCTGTTCCTTGATGTATTATCGCTATATCAGTTGTGAACATGTAAAGGGTTCCTTTAGTTACTGGGTTGCCTATGGTACACCACTTGAAGCCGAGTACTTTTCCAACCTCCATTTCTTTCTTGTGCAGCTGTTACCTCAAATTACGATAACACCGCACCTTATCTTCAATAAAAAACTAATAATATAAACAACGAAGTCCACTTACTTTATAATACTCTGTCATGTCACTTGTTAACTTTTCAAGATCCCTCAGCATTGATAGCGGCTGAAACTGTAAACAAATTATTTGGTCTTTAAATTTTTTCTGTATGCTGTGCTACCCTTGTGAACAAGCAAGGTTGGAGGGGGAGGACTTTTTTCTTTTTTCCCCCACATCCATATACGCTGTGACTGGTTGGTGAAAAAAGGACAGATGAAAAGGGAAGACAAATGAAAGAAAGGAAGAGATGGGGTAAGAAAATAAAAGGAAAGGAATGCTGAGATAGAAAGGTAATTGAAGAGAAGGAAAAACTGAGGGAAGAAGAAGAAAAGGAGACATGGCAAGGAAAGGCGAGGAAGGATGGAAGAAAAGGAATAAAGTGAATATTACCATAAATTGTCCAGGGTCAATAACTTCGGACACCGTTACATCCACCCATGGTCGTGAGAGTGTTATGGGTGGTGGGAGGTTTGGGGTCAAGTCATCTTGGTCATCTTCTTGTGAAGAGGATTCTTTGTCTGTCTGTTCTTGTTTCCCTGGTGAACTACCATCAACTGATCCATCTACTGACCCGCCATCATCTCTACTGGAAACAAATAGAAAAAAAACACAATAAAACAAAACGCTGGCAAAGTTGTAACGAAAATTTATATAAAATAACTTCCAAGGATTTTCATCGTACAAACATGAATTTATTCGTCTTCTCGTGGTCGGCTCGACCTACTACAGCGGGCATGCGCAACACAGGGTTCCCAATAGTAGTTTCTTCTGAACATATTTATCTCCTCAAACATGATAAGCAAATAAAGAAACAATACTCATTACAATGACATGTGATTTAACAAAAAAAGGTGTCCTAAAGCTAAGAAGGTCTACCCAGGGATTTCAGTGAAGCCATGTTGTAGTCAAGGAACGATGTTTCTGCAGGACAATCAACTCATTTCTGAAAGGAAACCATTTCTCTTGTTTTTTGTATCAGCATGGCTGCCATGAAACCCCTCTACTGGATGCAGAAATAATTCAGAGTTTTACTTGTCTAAATGTCAAAATATCAACTGCATTCTTACTTAGCTTGGTTATCCTCCAGAATGTAATCAAGAATGTTAACCTGTTGGCCATCTTCTCTAGTCAAGAATAATTTGACTTGGGGAATGGCTCCCTGTTTAGTTACCTGAGACAAATAATATCATACATATTTGTAGTTCACATTGTTTGCGATGATATGTGTTAATTAAACCATTTAAAAAAAATAAAGTCCTTTTAGCACTTTTGCACTAACTGAGGACCTGTTTTACTCACCCACACCACATTTAATATTCTATGCTCACAACAGTGACTCAACTCAAATATAGATAGCGATCAATTTTTACAAAGGGAGGAAACAGGAGAACCCAGTGAAAACCCTGATAGCATAGGAGATAACAGCACATTAAACTAACTCAATTCACATTTTATTATGGTGTGAACATACCTCAAGTATCACTTCATCAGATAGGATTTGGTTAATTGCTTTTGTTTTATCAGCATCCCAGTTCTATCATTAAAGAGATACGTAACTGTCAGTAGGAATGCCAGTCATTTCGAGACACAGTCGTTTCGAGACAGGTCGTTTCGAGACCCTAAGATACAAGTTCGAGACAGGCATATATCCGTTTCGATACACCTCATACACCGTTCAATATATATCA